ACAAACAAGCTCAAGAAGATAGTTTTCCTGAAGTTATAGAGTCTCTAAGAGAAAAACAAGCATATTCCAAAAGATTCAAAATTGTTCGAATAAATCCCATATTATCAGATGAAGGTCTACTTTTGGTACGATGGTCGGTTACAAAAGTCAAACCTACTATTTATTTAACAACAAGCATCCAATAGTAAAATCCCTTCAAAACATAAATTAAGTGAATTAGTAGTACGAGACGCTCATGAAAAGGTTTATCATGCGGGAGTATCGGATACTCTAGTGCATATACGTGAAAAATTCTGGCTCTTAAGAGGAAAACAATATGTCAAATCAATCAGAGATTTTGGCCTGATCAGAGATTTTGCTGCTGAGTAAATGCATAATATGCAAAAAATATAATGTACGTACTGGACAACAAGTCACTGCAACTCTTCCAGCGGATAGGGTTAATGAATCTCCGCCTTTCGCAATTTGTGGACTCGATTTTGCAGGTCCTTTGTATGTAAAAAAAAAAAAAAAAAAAAAAAAAAAAAAAAAAATGACAACAAATACTACATTTTATTGTTTACTTGCGCTACTACAAGATCTATTCACCTTGAGCTCGTAAAAGGCATGAGCACTGAAGAATTTTTACTTGCGTTCCGCAGGTTCGTATCCCGAAGAGGTTTGTGTTCCACTGTGTACTCGGACAATGCTAGAACATTTAAAAGAGCCGAACTTGAATTAAAGCAAATGTGGAAAGTGATTAACCACCCTGAAGTTAAAAAATTTTATGCTTCGCATGGAATCACATGGAAATACATTGTGGAACGTGCTGCCTGGTGGGGGGGTTTTATGAACGTTTAGTTCGCAGTGTAAAAACTAGTTTAAGAAAGAACATTGGGAAATCATCTTTTACTCATAGTGAATTAGAAACGCTTTTGCTTGAAATAGAAGCGATGATAAATTCGCGACCATTAACATACGTCTTTTCTGACCTTGAAGAGCCCTCCGCACTTACTCCCACGGAAGCTCTGGCGTGACGTCACAACCTCCGTCTATACTCGACGATTTCAACCCGATGATCGAACTTCCATCGTCGCAAAACATAATAAAATATGCTTTCTTATATCACATTTGAAATGCCTTATATACCTAATATGCAGTTATTTTACCTTTGTGATCATATTATTTATGCCTAATTTAGAAAATTTAAAAAAATTACAATTTAAAATGCAAAAAATAATTGACCAAATAGTGTAAATACATATTTATCGACTTTCGTAGAAGTTTCTCTTACATAGTGGTGATTAATTAAATATCGCGCACTCCTTCATGTATGCTTTCATCATTTATAAATTTATATTTTCAACGGATTAAATATTAAAAAATAATTAAAAAAATTATTTGTAATAATATGTTCTTAAATGAGCTTTGCATAACATGCACAGAAATGATCCTTTCATGGAGCAAGAAAATTTCACAAATTAACAAAACACAAATAAAAAGGAGAATTTTTTATTTTAATCAAAAGATCAATTATCTTGCAGAAGAATTTCATAATAGTATTGGAAGAGTTTAAAAATTAGGAAATATAAGAATTCAGAAAAAAAAAAAAAAAAAAAAATTAATAGAATGATATAAAGGAAAGTGTATAATAAATTACACAACGGGAAAAAAAAAATTATCTTGCAGCTTCAGATACATTGATTTTATAATAAAATGTTTTTTACTTAGTTTTAGTTATAGCATGCTATTATTATATTAGTAATTTACCTTCATAATAAAAAATAAGCAAGTAATCAATTTCCTAGTTTCATTTTCCAATAAACTAACTTAAGCCAAACATCTGAATGTTAGACACACACTGCCTGAAAGATATTCTCATGCCTTTGATATGTAACTATATTTTAAATGCTGCCAACAGCATAAAACATTTAAATTATACGACAACACTCATATAAACCAAACATTTTAATATTAAACACTGAGTTTTAAAATATTCTAATTTAAATCAGAAACCCCAACATTATTTTTATGGTTTGAAACAATTTCAAGGCAAAAGTTTCAAACTTCCAACATTTACCAAAAACACAAACATTTTTTACATTACCTATACACACATTCGTAACATACAAGCATCTAGGTTAGAAGATTATAAATAGGTAGGTATTTTCTTTTCTGATGTCCTTTTCAGAAACAATATGCAAGGGTAGATTCACATAAACTAAACTTAATGCCATTAATGAATATCTAAAACAAAACTACAGAACTCCCAGAATATATCAGATTGAAACTGTGATAAAATTTACATAAATCATATACTTGAACATGTAAAATATATTTGGAAAGAACTTTGTTGATTTAAATAAATAACCGCATCATTGTTTTAAATGCTATAAAGGGATTAAATATCCAAATTTTACAAAAATCATAAAAAAATTTTATAATTAATTCTATTTACATCCAAAGTATTCTTATTACCTATGTCAAAAATATACCATCATGATCATAAATAAGGAGAATATTAGTTTTCTGAATTCATTTCCAGAACTGCAGTTGTTATGATTCGACTCATATAGACCAAATTTTAACAATAACTACATTATTTGAAAGAGCATGAATGGCATTAAAAAATTTCCAAAAGATTTTCTTCAATACAGCAAAAACCATGAAACACTCATAGCAAAGTCAGAATCAAATTTATTATTAAATTCACATGTAATCTTCCATTTGAACAATAGCACAATACAATTTTAAAAGAACCTGTTTGATTTAAGTAACTAACCATTAGCAGCATCTTTAAATGCCTTTTATACCAATTTTTTCAGAATCATAAAACACTTTTTTATGATAACTCTATTATTACCTACATTAGAAATATACTATCATGTTTATAAATAAGAAGCATAGTAAGCCTTTTTTATTTTCAGAATCTTAACAATAAGCACACTACTTTAAAGAATGTTAATTCCAATAACTAATTTACAAAGCATTTTCTTCAGTACAGCAACCATGAAACACTCATCAAATTTATGATTGAATTCACATAAATCATACATTTAAATATAACACACACAGCATGAAAATAACCTAATTAATTTAAGAGAATATCTGCAGCAGTGTTTTACAACAAAGGCCTTAAATATCCAAATTTTACCAGAATCGCAAAACAATTTTTTTACGTTAATTCTATTAACCTTCAAAAGTTCTTATTACCTATATTAGAAATACATCTTAATGAATATAAATAAGTATGCAATCATTTTTTACTTCACTCTTATGCAAATAAATAAAATTCTTATTAATAAACATTTTAACCTACAAATATACTATTTTGGAAGATTTTAATACCATAAAGTTGTAATAAAAGGACTCTTTTGAGTAGTGAAAAGTGTTTTAAACATAAGGATTACATAATAATTATATATATGATTAAGTTGGCAATAACAAATATTTTAAAGTTAGATAAATAAATTTGAAAAGGGTTTAAGCAAACATCTGCAATTAAGTACTTTTTCCTTGCGATGCCCTTAAATACCCTGATTTTTTATTTGAATTATGATGTTTTATTTTATAAGACAAATAACAAGATGGTAAAATAATTCTTAAATATTGATTATAAATTGCTATGATGATAAAAATTGCTTTTCACCGATTTTTGAACTTTTTCAGTTTTCTTTCCTCATTTCTTTCAAGGGACTTTAAAGAAATGTTTTTTACATAATTGTTCAAACAAATATTAAGAAAAGTCTTGACGACACTCATGATTATTATTTCATATGGCAAATGACATTCACAGCATCTCTCACTAAAACACACTACATCATTCATTTTGAGATGAGCCTCAGTTATTTTTGTAAGAAGCTGGTGTTGTTTTCCATTGTTGTGGATAAAATGCTTCTCATATTTTTCAGATATAATAGTTTGGAAAAGTAAATATGCAGTTGATATCAAACAACACCATATTTCTGTCGGGTATTTTAAACCTCCTCGATTTATAATATCAATATATGCATAATTTGTTTCCGCTAATGTACCATCACAAGTTTCGAATAATAATTCTTTGTCCAAGACGCAGAAATCTATGCAAGCACTGCAGTTAGTTTTAATATTTCTTGTGCAGTAAACAGCAATGTATGTGAGAACTTCTGCATCAGTGTCCGAAACTGCAGCCAATTCTACACCATTGCAAATAATTTCATTAAAAGGTGTAAGATCAACATCTTTACTCATTTCTTTAATGTCTGAAAATTCTGTAACAAACTGTTTTAAAGAGATGTTACCATATGAATTAGAATGAAGATGAAGAATGGACTTCAATTTAATTTTTCTTTCAGACTCCAGAATTTGCTGAACTGAAACATGGTAATTTCCTCCAGACATCTGACGATATTGCGAAAATCTGTATTCCAATTTATCAGTCTGAAATTTGGAAGTTAAAATAAATTTTGAGCTATTTACTAAAAGCTCTTTAATTACATCGATGATTGCATTTGTTGTCTGATAAAGAGCAAAATAAGTTTCCTCGCTTAAACATCCGCAACGAGACTGTTGCTTCATGTTTTTCCACTGCTCAAGCCAACAACAGAATTTTTCCAAAAACCTAAATCTTTTATCATCAGGTGCAGTAAATAAATGCTTTGCTGTCTTCACATTTTATATAAAGGCTTTTGTTTAGGTGGCTCACATTCATAATGTTCCACCATTTTCTGATAATTTGCAAAAATTTTACCGTATCCTGCCAATTATCAATGCAGTGTTTCTTTCCCAATAATTGAAGAGCAGCATCATTACTCTCATGAAAAATATTTACAGCAAACTTCACATTTTGTTTTTCTAAACTTGAAGGATATAAACTTTTGAATGAAAGTTTATGGCCCATTTTCACAATTGAGGTCTTCTCCTTATGAGATATATTCCTTAGATGCGAAAATTTAGGAATTATACATTTTGATGGATCATCAAAATCAGGACAACAAAATGTTTTTTGGGTGTCTAACTGATTAATCCAATTATTTCTATTTTTATGATTTCAAAAGGTGTACTGAATCAAAAAGTAAGAATAATTTTTTCTCGTTATTTTGCAGGGTTGCAGACATGAGTTGACATTTGTTTATATGACCTAACTTCTGAAACATGTTCCTGTTTATTCTGCTGTTATCAGAAATCATCGAAACAACTGAAAATCCTGCTTTATTCAGAATATGAAGAGCTTTGCGGGTCAGGCAGCATAAATAATCTGCATTCATATTATTAACAGGAACTAAGGCAATAGTTTTTTTATAAGATGAATAAATAGAGCTTATCATGAAAGCTTGTACAGTTGTACCTTCAGTATCGGATTTATTTTCTGCAAAACCTGATATTGATTTCCCTTTATAAGCAATTGATTTCTTTACATAGATTTCATCAATTAGTAGATTTACAATTCTATTTTCATCGTTCAATTTGTTGAATTTTTCACTCATGTATTTTTTTGTATTCTCATTTTGTAACGAATTGTCGAGATTCAGAATGCTTGTAATTTTACCTAAATGATCGTTTGATGGCATTGACAATAAACCGCTGTCGTACAACGAAGAATAACATGATGAGGACTTCATGTATAAAGAATATGCAAAAATTAAAAGTTCACTGCTGTACCTTCGAGCCATTTTAGATTTATCACACAAGTTCATTTGCTCTAATATGAACTTTTTATTGTCATACACATCATCAGGAGAAATGCATTTTTTCCAATGATACACAGACTTTTCTTTTTCACTAGGAAGCACTTCATTTAAGTCATCTTTCTGCATATTTTTAATGAAACTTAAAATATTTTCCAGTTCACTCCATCGCAAAAGATTATCTGGGTTATTTAGAATAATTTTGAAGTGAGATACAGGAACAGAAATATCACCAAGAAAAACATTTAAACTCATATCATTATTGATTTTTATGCTTGAAAGTACCCTTGGTGCTGACAATGAATTTAAATTAATTAAAAATACATGATCACTGTTTTTTATTACAATTGGTTTTGAAATTAAATTGAACGAATTTACCCGTAGATCCAATTGTTCACAAAAATCAATAAAACTTTTGATTCGGTCTTTATCTAAAAATTGCTGAAATGCAATTTCATCTGATTTTGCAAGTTTTTCAGATCTACTTGTTCTTGGAGTAGGTTTGTTTTCCGTCAGGTATTTTGGGCAATTAGGAAATATAGACGGATAAGCATCTTCCTTCAGTTTTGGACATTTTCTTGGCACTTTTAAGATAGTACCATCTCTGTCTGATATTTCGTCAATTCTTATACTATCCGATTGAATGAAATGTTTTTCACACACAACACTTCTTGCAGATGGCGACCAGTTTCTTCGTGGAATCTTCTTGCACCATATACTTTTCTTTTCAACGTCTTTCGGAAATTTAAAAACAGAAACGTACGTTCCAGCTTTGTCATAATTTGACTGGCATTCTGGGACACAGCATCGATCTGGCATTATAAATAATATAAAATAAAACGGTTTAAAATATTCGTTATTAACGAGAAACACTAAATATTTACGCTACTCCAACGGCACACATCCATTCTCACACTCAAACGTTCTTTCCTCAGACGGAGTTCGTGACGTCAGATCACATGACTTCTGAGCTTCCGTGGCCGATCCTGTAGTTGGCCATGCTCCAGCCCACCTGTTGATTGGTAAACGACTCTTGAGTTTGCCAGCTGTAAGGAGGAATGACTTGAATTTCCAGAGAAGTAATGTTAAAACGTTTCCGTACACGAGAAAATCTAATAAATCACTTTTGGAACAGATGGAAAAAATAATATCTCCTGTGCTTGAGATCTGCTCATTATACCGGTCAGAAGAAACCATCTGTATTCAACGTAAATGATATAGTGCTTGTTCATGATGAAAACTTACCTAGAAGCTGGTGGAAATTAGGAAGAATAACCAAAACTTTTATTGGTAGAGATGGAATGATCAGATCTTGTGAAGTGAAAACTGGTAATTCGGTAATCAAACGTCCAGTGCAGCTATTGTACAACTTAGAAATTGATGATATCAATAATTGCAATAATCAGTGACTGGTCAGAAAATAGACTGAATGACTGATAAACTGATGATAGACAAAAATATTCTTATCAATACTGAGTAAATGCATAATATGCAAAAAATATAATGTACGTCCTGGACAACAAGTCACTGCAACTCTTCCAGCGGATAGGGTTAATGAATCTCCGCCTTTCGCAATTTGTGGACTCGATTTTGCAGGTCCTTTGTATGTAAAAGAAAATGACAACAAATACTACATTTTATTGTTTACTTGCGCTACTACAAGAGCTATTCACCTTGAGCTCGTAAAAGGCATGAGCACTGAAGAATTTTTACTTGCTAATGTTTTCATTTATTCATTTTATTATTTTCCTTGGTTTAAAAATTTGTGTTGATCTTCAGAAATGTTCATTTAAATGTTTTGTTTTCTCTATAGTTTCAGAAAAAATTTTCTTGGTATTAAGAAATTATTGATATAATGTGACCTGTATATGTAAGTAATTTTTATTTGTTTCTTATATTTATAGTAATATTGTAGAGGTTAGTTAAATTTGTGATGAACCTATTGTTCATCGGGGGGGGGGTTTGTTGAAATTATTTCTTTTCCCTCCGATGGAACCAATTTTTCTTTTATTATTTATCGTCTGTCACCGACTAGGTCACGTGACTGGCGGCAGAGAAAGAATGTAATAACTCTTTTAGTTTAGTTTGAGTGCGACGCTTGAATGATTTGTTCTTGGCCGCATAGCGGTAATCAACAATTATAATAATTGTTCTTGATAAACTAATCTTGGGCCTATGATGGGAAAATTTATATTATATGTATATTTTGTGCTTTCAATAATGTAAATAATGTACATAAAGCTCTTCATTAAATATTTCTGTGTTTCAACTGGAAGTTCTTATTTTCAAGTTGAGTCTTTACGTGAAAATGGTATATTGACTCTTGATTATACTAGTATATTCTTGATTAAATTGATGCTCTCCCAACCCGTGAAAAATAGAATCGTGAATTCGTGATCATAAACGTTCAAGTTCAAATAAAAACTGATTTTAGATTAATGCTAACAAACCATGAGCCCAACGTTGTAAGAAAAATAATCTTGCACATTAAAAATAAATTTTAATTCAATAAAAAATATTATGTTATTCGATTAACTGTAAACTTTTTTTTTTAAACTGTTCATTTTATTTTACCATGATTATTTATCCAAAAACTTTTCGTGAAGCAGATTTAAAGAGTATTCAGAAACCAAATTTTATGGAATTTAGTTTCTAAAAATCATTATGGTCCCAAACAAGATATGTATATGTGTGTTGAGAGGAAAAATTCGGCACTAAATGTATTAAAAGCTTTAAAACTTAGAATAAAATGTAAAATGGAAAACAACTCATTGTCGGTTTTTTTTCCATTTTGCACTCCAAAGAGAAAAATTTAGATTGTAACTCATTTATAAAATTAATTACTTTCTAAGTAAACTTTTTTAAACACCACAAGAAAGCGCATGTTTTTTCCTAGATCACCCAAAAGGTTAGGGATGAACACATTATTTCATATTTCAAAATTTCTCAAAATACATTAGGAGCATAGGGTAGGGTATATTGCCTGATTTCAACTTGTAAACAAAGGAAGGTAACGAAAATAATTTTAAAACGGTTAGAGAAAAGATTAACCTTTCTTTAGAAAACTTCGAGTTCAAGAAAATTTATTTTCGAGAAAGATGATAAGTTTGTAATGCATAATATTTTTTAATGCAAACCTCTCAAATGATCAGTTAATTGATTAAGAAAAAAACACACGAGGATTATCACAGACATCTGGAAGGTAACTGTCCTTATCATGAAATAACAAATACAGCTCTTACCGCCTTAGCTTTCTCTATTTTGAATTAGTTTTGTTGAACGTTTTGGTAGTTAAAAGATAACTATTGCAAGATATTGCAATATTGTTCGAATATCTGAGGAAATTTAAGCATTTTGTTTTTATTTGTTGTGATAAAAATAAATTTTATTCACTTTCATTATTAACAAACATTTTATTCCCGCAACGTTATTAACAAACTTTTTTATTAGAAAATAAATTCTCTCACCTTGAGTTAAACAATTCACGATAAAAATAGCCATGAAAATACTTTATCAAAATTTACACAAACTGTTAACTTCTGTCGTGTTTCTTACATGTAATTTTATGAGACATTATTATTATTATTTTGAAAACGTTGGGAATACTTGGGCATCAAATCAGAATAATTTGCATAAATTCTCAGGATTAGTTTTGGAGGTCTAAATAGAACCTACTTCTTCAGCTACAGGGGTAAAAATATATCTTTCTAGTTTTACAAATTAATGCAATTTACGCGGATTCTTTTTGCTTTAGTAATTCCAACATTAAAGAGCTTTGCTTAAGGTTTCGGTAAGGGGTATGCAAATGTCCATTTCTGTTTTATCGTCATCCTTACCATTAATCTCATCATTACGGTTTTTGTTGCTCCACAGATCTACGATCAAACGATTTCCTCATTTCTCAAAGCCTGAAAACATGATTCTTTGTTTTCCACATTTCCATTCAGAAACATCTGAACGATGTTTTGGAATCCTTTTATCATTTGAAACATGCTCACGAATTCACCGTCAACTGGTGTCTGAACGTTATTGCCGTTTTTAACACACGCAGAGTCGCTAGGCTTTTTCCCGCCGGTGTAGTGTCTGCAGTTTCTAAATTCTGCCACCTGTTTCCATCCTCGGGCAATATATTACCTACATGGAGTTCACTACTATTACAGAAACTCAGGCAATGTATTATTTACATTGAGCTCATTACTATTGAAAAAAAAACCCGGCCAATATATTATTTTCATTGAGATCACTACTGTTAAAAAACTCTCAATATAGTATTTACATTGAGCCGTACTACCATTAAAAGAACACCTGGCGATACATTACTTACATTGCTTTCACTACTATTAAAGAAACTCAAGCAATATATTATTTACAGTGAGCTCATTACTACTGAAAAAAACTCGAGCAATATATTACTTACACTAAGTTCCCTACAATAATATACAAAAAAAAAAAAATCAGGCAATATACTACTCACGCTCACACACTGAGCTGAGTTAATCAAGTTGCTTTAAAATTGTAAATGAAAGATTCTTTACGGAAAACAAAAACTGGCTAAGTTATTTATGAGATACTCCCATAAACTAGTGTCGTTTCAATGAGTAGGTTTTGCGGAAAGAAAAAAAAAAAAAATAATTAGATATTGATTTAATCAGCTGTATATTTATTTCTCGTATGAATCCCCTCGCCTGTGCCAAGTGATTAAAGATCACTAAATGCTGGAAGTTAGATCCCAGGCGTCCGAGTTAGAAACCCAGGCAAACAGATTGGCGAGCATTTGTAATTTTTATATGCTTGACTATCTTATAATACCCTCAACAAAGGTATCTATCTCCCCAAAGTCCTCGTTTGCTTTGCCGTATTCAAGGAGCCAAACCTAACCCATCTGAATCAATGCATTCTTTCAACACCGTAATAGGTTTCTTACGACATTTCTCATGACTTAGTTGGCTTATTGGAGAAAATGTTTTTAAGAACCTTCCAAGTTCCTCATTGGTATGTTGATCAATAAAATTTTGCTAGTTTCGAACCACCAGTCAGGCTCTCTATGACATATTTTAAGTAGCTTTCGACGTCCTTGTATTCTAGCCTAAATCGAGATCGAGACAACCCAAAATGCAATTACTTCCTTTATTCGGGCAACTTACTATCTTCTATTTACCATCGCCCCAGTCTCAGCGGCAAAAATCAGGATTTCCTGTTCTCTGAATAGGAAAATGAACAAGAACCCTTTTCTTCGAATAGAAGCGTCTGCTCTTCATTTAACTGGCGATCTTCGTCGATAGCTCTTCATCCAAGCAATTCAGCAGGATCTTTAGGCCAGTCAAAGAGACTCATTATAAGAAAAGAACCGGAACTTTAAAGGTTCTGGTGTTCCAAAAACGGTTATGCTTCAAAAGGTTGTGGACTCTACCGTTTCAACAACATTTGAAGCATACCCTTGTTTGGAAAATCAAAAACCTTCATAATGTGAGTTCTTTCCTTCAAAACACATTTTCAAAACTTAATTACCTTTCCGAATCTTTTTAATACGGTTTAAAGTAGTTAAAAGATTTGCGCAGAATTAAATCTTTCCAAGTTGTGAGGTCGTGGTAAAACGAGGAAATAATTCGAAAAGGGGGATTGGGCGTTTGATGCACGGAGCCTAGTTTTAATAATTGTAAAGGATGTCAACAGTCAAAAAGTGAACTATTGAAAAGCGACGAGCATCAGAATTAGGATTTTAATCCTCAAGAATATTTCAGAAATGTAATTATGAAATAAAAAATGGCAAAATATAGCAATGAAGGAATACACTAAGGAAAGTAATGCTGTGTTTAGATACGGCAAAACACTCGAGGGTTATCTGCCTAAGGGAAGAGATGCCTTCGTGTAGGACTTTCTAACCGAAACTGGCTCGTATCCACGTTACACATGGGGAAAAACCACGAAAACGCACATGCAGCCAGCCCGTTCACGGGATTTGGACCTCGGGTCGTTCAGCGACTTTACCACTCGGCCGCTGG